AAATTATTGACTAATAATATAAGCCTTCTATATTGAACCTAGAAACTGATGATCAAACTGATTGATACTAGATCAACGAACAAATTTAAAAAACAGCTCTGCACAAGCCGGTTCATGGGTTTCTGTGTTGAGATAGAATATTTGTCCCTCCATTCGATGTCTCGCCAGTAAAGTCTTCAGTCGATTATTTTTTTTTTATATACGTTTTACATTGGCTATACCTATGGTATTATCAAATTGTCTAATCTCAATTGCCGAACAGAATCTCCCAGAGACACAGTGTCACTTTAGACCCAACCGAGGTACAGCTGATATGATTTTCAGTGCAAGACAAATGCAAGAGAAATCCAGAGAACAAAATCGCTCTATAAATGGCCTTCATAGATTTAGTGAAACCATTTATTTTGATTCGGTCAACAGAGAAGCTCTTTGGAAGATATCGAAAGGTTGGGTGTCCGCAAAAGTACATCTAGATACTCCGTCTGCTGCACGATAATATAAATGCAACCGTTCGAAGCAATGAAGGACAAGTAGAGTATTTTCAAATAATCACAGGCCTTGAACAGGGCTGTGACCTGTGTTATTGCACCCTCTTTATTCTATCTCTTTATTGCTGGCCGGAAACACCAGAGTAGGCTGTTCCGGCCTGCAATCTAGCGTCAGCAGCGTATGTCGCATTCCATCGCCGCTGGACGCGAATTCTAGTGTCGATTTCTACATGTAGAACGAAAATCTTATTCCGTGCACCCCTTGATACCATCAGTTCGCCTGATGACGGTTTTAAAAATGTCTCGGAAATTTTTCATTTTTCCTACATTTTTTAGGGACATTTTGAAATTTTGCGTATGCTGTTTTTGTTGTGATCAATATCATCTCGGACATATCGGTAGCGATATGTCCGCAATAGGATCCCCCACACCGCCATATCGCGCCGGTGTAGGGTGTAGGGGTAGTTGTGTTGGCTGCAGTCCATTTTTATCGAAATGTCTGAAAAGCATTAATCACGAAAAAATTTAATGGGGCCTACGGAAAGGGATGGAAAATTATCAAATAATTTTTAAAGTTCTCACACTCACAGATGCGCTTTACTATTCGGTGTACCATAGGTACGTACTAAGTGTCCCCCATAATGTTCGCTACATATGGGGTAATTTTTTATTTGTAGGATATGGAATTTTTTCTTATGTGCGTTCAATACTGCATGCAGTGGCGGTACATAGATGATTTTCTGGGGGGGGGGGGGGGGTAATGGATGACGGGAAAATCAAGTGTCGAATGGGTTCCCCCCAATTTTTTTTGGGGTGCCACGCCCAAATTTGCACCTGCAAATCGTTTGAAACACACCTGAAGCAAAAATGTATCCCGATGCCGGCAAAATAGTTATACAGAGTGTCCATTTAGTGTTGTTTGATACTCTAAGGTCCATTTGTTAAAAATACCTTTACGAAAGACCTTTGTTATTTTAAATGGAACACCCTATACATTTAAGAACATTAATGGATTGTTTTAAAAATCCTACCTACTTTGCATGTGTCAACACAAACCAACATATTTCATTCATTTGAGATCCTTAAGCTAAATCTTTTGCAGGTTGTTAGTGTATACTTACCTTTTCTTTATTGTCCTATAAAAATCTGATAACATTCTACAGGGTGTTCGCAATACTGTAACTGTACACACAACCAGACAACTAATAGTTTTTTTTTTTCAAATGAAATACCCGAGGAAATACCCTTTATTCCACTGTATAGTAAGAGGTACGTCCATACTGGTGAGCTTATCAATTTATACAATGCCTTCTATGCTTTATTTTATAGAACTTGTACGTCTTTTGTTGAAATTTTATTCTTAAGTGTATAAAAAAAAATCTTTGTCTGGGGAGGGGCTAATTACCCCCTCTACCCCCCCTTTAAACCGCCCTTGACTGCATGTCCGATAACCTAAAGGTACCTATATGTTTACATCGACAACGTGATCACTGTTGTGGCCGCAAATTCGAAAATTTAGAAAAGGAAACGCGAGAAGTAGGGTTAGATGGCAAAATATCGGAAAAAGTTATTTGAAAAAAGTGAATATATTGATGTTTTAGGGCTGACTGCGAAATTTGGAGCAAAAGCAACACAAAATAGGAAATCACTTGTAATTTCGTATTTTTTATTGCTTTTGCTCCGAATTTCCCAGACAGTCCTAAAATATCGTTCCAATAATTGTTTTGCAAATAAATTTTTCCGATATTTTGCCATCTAACCCCACTTCTCGCGTTTCCATATCTAAATTTTCGAACTTGCCGCCACAACAGTGATCACCTGACCAATGTCAAAATGTACTTTTAGGTTATCGGACATGCAGAATCAATCGCACATAAGAAAAAATTCCATATCCTACAAATAAAAGAAATCCCATATGGAGCGAACAATATGGGGGACATTGTATATATTTTCAGTAAAACTGTAGTAGAAACAAAATGTAATGCAGAAAACTTCAACAGATACGAGAAGAGTCGTGTGGAAAAGTTGAAATCAACACCATTTGACGTGTTGTCTTTCTCACTGGGCGGGGAAAGGGGAAAATCATGTAGAAAACAGGACACGGAATACGAAATATCGAACGCGCGTAACTTATTTGTGTATATACTTTTTGTATGTATCGAATAATTTGATACCAATTTTTCGCTGTTTGTATTATGTGTTACTTTTTTTGATAAGAGAATTTACTAGATTTTATTCAAGAATATCCGTTTTCGTTAATAGAAACTCATTTTTCCACTAAAGCATTTTTTTAAAAAAAATTGTATGGATACAGAGAAACAGAATATTTATTTGTTTTTTAGTACAAAAATATTAATTTTTCAAGTGTTGAGTTTTGCTTTTTGAACAAATAAACATCTATTAATATTTTAATTAGGTAACGGCCCAATTAAGGACCGATTGAGAAGTGTTTTATCCCTGCGGGACCATCCGTGGACGCGTTTCGCTGTATCACAGCTCTTCAGCACGGTTAGGTCCCGCAGAGAGAAAACACAACCCATTTTTGGTTCCTTCCCGGAACTGGGTTTGATACAAGTAAGATGAAGACAGAGTCTCCATCTATTTTCTGATCGGCACACTAAAAAATTGCTACTAACAACCGTATAAACCAGTATTAAATTAGAGCAAATTAAAATCAAATGTTTTTCGGTACCAACCGACTTAACTTCTGGTTGGCAACTAGAATAGCTATTCTCGCAATTGTGGCGAATGCCTTTGCGAGTCGATTTGCTCTAATTTAATACTGGTTTATACGGTTGTTAGTAGCAATTTTTTAGTGTGCCGATCAGAAAATAGATGGAGACTCTGTCTTCATCTTACTTGTATCTATTAATATCCTAAACGTGTATTTTTTTTCTTGTGTCAAGAACCAGCAATAAATGCTTGGGGTATCATACACCCCAGAGTGTGTTTGGTGTATTCAAAAAATATGTGTGTGAGAGGAAGGTTAATTTGTGAATTATTCAAACAGACGACATTATAGGATCCATACTTCTTCTTGTCGAGGGTCACCGACCGTCAGGAGTGGAAATCCTGTACAGACGTGATGGTGGCTTATTCAGCCTGAATAGATTACACGCAAAGACGAAAATATCAACGACATAGAAAATTCCGGATGATAACGTCGTGATGGCCAATAAAGATGAAGATCTTCAGGCAATTATCAATGCATTCAACCAGGCATACAGGAAAAACGGCCTAGACGTCAACTTTAACAAGTCGCAGATTCTGCACCAACCCGCACCGGATAGGTAGGTACTAACCTCCAAGCCCTAAATATAACTATAAATGACGATTATTTGCAGAACTTCGAACACTACCCATATTTTGGGAGCCATCTGTCAGCGAATGCAATCAACAACGCTGAAATCCAACATCACTTGAAGAAACTGTGCTTGAAGTGTGCTAGCGCGGCGTTCGGGCGACTTCAGAGATAGTTTTCAACAATCAAGACATCAGCGCTGAGACCAAACTTCGCCTCTACAATGCAGTTATTTATACCAGCACTCACGTACCTATGGCAGCGAAACATGGACCACCTACAGAAGACACATCAAAAGCCTAGAAAAATACCACCAGCGCTGCCTAAGAAGGATCCTACGGTATAAATAACAGGACCGACAAACGAACATTAGTATTTTAGAGGAGGCAAAAAGAATTAACATGGAAGCCCTCATCATTGAGCACCAACTTCGCTCGACAGGTTACCTCGTCCGCATACCTGAAACACTTCTCTTTCACGACAGATTATCTACAGCCAACTGAAAGAGGGAAATCGAAATCATAGAGGTGAACAAAAACGCTACAATGACGGCAAATGATAGGTCTTCATGGCGTCGAGTAGTCCACGATGAACCAAAAACTTTTGAAGAAGAGCGACGCAGACACTATACCGAAAAGAGAGATCCCAGGAAGGAGCAAGAGAACATAGGAAGAGACAATGCTGTCAGAGGCTGGATGTGCCAATACTGTGGAAGAGTGTGCGGCTCCAGAATTGGTTCATATAGCCATCAGAAAACGCACAATCGACGACCCCGGGTTGTCAACAGTTTAAATACTGCCATCAAACATAACCAAATTCCAAGCTTTTTTAATGACATTGTCGCATTGCCCAATAAAATTAAATGTTTTAGTTGTGTGTCTTATTATCTCGTAATCAGCAGCAGCACTTTCCTTGTTTTCCCTATAAATATAGTTTTTCGAATCTTTTGCTCCTCCTTTGTGAATTTTTCCCGCAACATCCTACTAAATCTCAAATCTCTTTCACGCTGACATCTATTCCAATCATTCTATTTCATATGCATGGTGCCAAAATTTCTTGGTTTTTATTCCGTACAGATTCTCAAGGTGGACTTTTTTTCTTGTGTTTCATATAAATCGTAAAACTGCGTAGATTTATTTTTTCTATTGCATTAAGATTGTTATTGCAATATATAACTAGTTATTATTTCCTCATTTAAACTATTTTTTCAGAATTTATTAGGAGTTTTACATATTCCAGTTGGTTACGTCTTGTGTGGGTCACCTCAAAGTGTTACCGAAACCGATCTTATTCACCATTGTAATATATCAGGAGAGTCATCCAATCCCACTCAAAAAGCTGTGTTAACAGAGATATGCGAACTCAGCTCTAAAAGAAGCGCGTTTACAAGCAGCTTCCGAAGAGGCGTGAAGCTGGTTGAGATTCCTGAACACGATAAGCTTGAGGATTTGGCAATTAATTAAGTTAATGTAAGGGGTTAGGGTATATGGGGGTATGTGGGGCACACCGATAGGGTTTTCTTTTTAATTTGCTTGAAACGCCTTTTTAAAGTCCCCGCCGCTGATAGTTTGAAATAAATTTTAAAAGAGATCTTTTCTGTTCGAAGTGCGAGATAAAAATGCCATTAGCTATATTTCCAATTTGCTCTGCAGGAATAGATCAATATATAAATATTGATAATGACGAAAGAAGTAATCATGGCGAATATTTCGAATGATGATATTGTATTTGGGTACTTTTGTGAAAACATTTCCGCCAATTTTTTGACACTTGCCTGCCAAAAAAAACAATACATATATTTATTTGAAAAAAAAATCCATAATCTTGCTATTGTCATTTTTTGGGCTGGAGCAAGGCCTGCAAATGTTTTTCTTTTAAAAATACGTACCTACTATATGGTTGATTCATGCCAATTATCTTGATTATTCAGTAACTTTTTCTTCAAGCTGTCCCACCACATTCTAACCAGACGATAGCTTCGGAACACGTAATTCAATAAAAGTGAAATTTTGGAGATCAAGGTAGCTTTATGTGCCGCTTCTACATGTTATATCGAATTTTATTACTTTCGCTTCAGCATTGGTCCAGTGATAACAACTTCCTTGAGAACACATGTCCATTTTGTATACCATGATTTATGCGTTTCTCCAAGTTCCTTTCTGTAGTAATTTTTTGTCATTTACTTTAACAAAGCCTAAACAAATACCTACGGCATTGGCGATTCTGTAATTTTGATGATATAACACATTTTACATTCAACATTTGAAAATTGCCATCACTGTACCAAAACTGAATCGAAATTAATAAAATTGGATAAAACATGAAGCGATCACACATTCCAAATTCATCGCCTAGTGTTAGAATGTAGTAGGGCACCCTATAACTTCTGATAAGCAAGATGAGAAGTGAAACAACTTTTTTCTACGCCTATGAGAGCATGCGTCCATTCCGACTAGTGTAGTATTATTTCCATCACTTGTTATGGAATGAATACCTGTGGCGCCATCTAAAGTCACAGCTGAAAACACAGAAGGAGAGAATGAGCATAATGTTCGTCATCATCATAGGCGATCACTCGATACCGAGTATGATTATCTCCTATTCTATTCTTATTGTCGTCGATTGTGCGTTGATGTCGTGATGGTTGAAGACTCTCTCTAGAAGCCGCTCGAACGCCGCGCTAGCACACTTCAAGCGATGTTGGGTTTCAGCGTCAATGGTTGCATTCGCTAATGGTATGGGTAGTGCTCTACGCGTTCTGCAAAGAATGGTCATTTATAGCTATATTTAGGGTTTGGGGATTATTGCCCGGTGCGGGTTGGTACAGAATCTGCGTGTTGGTAATAAAGTTGACCGCTAGGCCGATTCTTTTCTATGCCTGGTTGAATGCAATGCTAATTGCCTGAAGATCTTCAGGTAGGCATGTTCGTATTTACACCAGCTGCAGACTGCAGGAATACTAAAAACCCTATAATATGTAACTAAATGACTAATATCGAAGGTTTATTAATAGCAAGAAATTCAGCACAATTGTAATATGCAGCCTTTTTTGAAAAAAGAAGGTTGGAAAATGGAAAACCCTATATAACAATGTTGAGGCTTGACATATTGTTTAAAATTTCAAATCACGTTATCTGCGTAAAGAGACGGATTTGTGAAAATTGCCCAAACACGTCAACAAACTTATTGAGGAGGTTTTACGTAGAAAGCATTCCGCCTTAATACATTTGTTTACCTGTTTCGGCGATTTTCACAAATCTGTCTCTTTACGCATATAATGTGGGTGGGGGTGGTATGTCTGTGAAATGAAAGCCCTGTGTGTGTCCAATATTCTTGTCACATCTGGTTGTTACTGTTGTTTGTTGTTTCATTTGATAGTCGTAGAAAAAGTATAGTTTAAAAATCGTGAGGAATTCAAAATTCTATATATTCGTCCGTTCCCCTCGCCTTACACATCTCGATGGACATATAATTTTTTAATTCATAAAGTAGAAAAGGCAAAAATGATTAGAAAATAATCTTGACTGATGGAACAACTACTACTTTTTTGTATATTATAATAATAAGCCAAAGAAGATTTTCGTTCATCAATTTTTCTCCATTTTTTATTGTTGAAAGTTATAAAATATTGTTCTTTCGTCATTGGCAGGCTCGGTATTGGCGAGGTTGTTTAAAGCCCACTTCTCCATAGAGCGGAGAATCGCGTTGCGGACGCGGAAGTTTTCAAATTTGTCCCGTAGTGGAGAAATGTCAACTTTTTGCGATATCGCAAAAAAGTTAAACTATTTTCAACTTTTGCGCAAGTTTTTATCCTCTGTCACTTTTTACTGTCACCTGTGAGATGTATGGTATGACATTTGATAAAAATCACTAAAATATAATGTGAAATGACCTAAATATAACTAAAAATCCGCTTCCGAAATCTCGCTTCATCTGAACCGTCAAAAATTACTTCTTGAACGGAAAGCTATATTCCGCACCCGCAACGCGATTTTCGGCTCCATGAGAACTAGGCTTAAGAGAGGTAGGTTCCCTGATAACTTTTATGACGTCATCTGGGGTGCCTCAACATAATGCAAATCTCCATGACCAAAAGGCACCTCAGATGACGTCATCAAGTTACCCATTACCAGACAACCTATTAACTTTATGAACCTTGGGTATTGGCTAATATCAGAAATTGATAACTGCATTGAAACAAATTAATGATTAACAAACTTCCAAATAATTAATTTACGCATTGTTTTTTAATTTATCAAAAATATATGGCTGTATCTCTAAATACTTCACGGACCTACTTAAAAAGCAGATTTTAAAGCATTTTCAAATCCGTATATTATTCAGATTTAATAGATTTTCAATCAAATCAAAATCGTGATTGTTTTGAAAATCTCTATATTTGATAGCCAATAGCTAGAAATATTCGGGGAGTTTAATCAATTTAAAACTAATTCGAAATAACAGATATGTCATAAACACACACATGGTTTTGCACCCTCTTCAAAAGCATGAAAATTCGAGACCGATATTTAATACATGTAATTGGCTTATTGCGTTCATTAGCGTATATGGTTTTGATTAGATATGGCACAGATTTTACACTTTCAGGGATTATATTCCAGTGGTCAAAAAGCACGTTAACGATCAAGTGATAAGCGTCGTTTACGCCCTTTACTTTATACTAAAGACTTTTTTGTAGATAAGGCAGGATACGGGTATTGTTATTTTTCGTTTAATCGTGCATGAAATCAGACTATTGTATACACTTTAATGCTTATAGGTGATAAAAGTTTAATTTAAATTCTGAATTATATAGGTAAGAAAAAATATTGTAAACTCCAAAGGGCAAAACAAATAAATCATCCTCTATACATATTGAAGAAAAAAAGCAAATATTGAAGTATAACCCCCAATAGCCCCCGTTCGTTATCATTTTTGGTTCATTTCCCAAATCGCAAAGACGTAACAATGGGCAAAAGCAAATAATTTAAGCTATTCATATGGTTGAGCTTTATCTGGGCTCGTTATGATCCAACCCGAAGGCGAAATCCTATAGAAATAGGATCAACCAAAAAATTTCATGGCTCATCAAGCAAACATCCTTCTTTAAGAGTTTACACATGACTATAGGGTACGCACCAGTTCCGTATTCAACATAGTCGGTACCTATAGATCTTCAAGTAGTACCCCAATTTTGCAAAATGTAAAATTTGCCAATTATAGGTAATTTAGTTTTTAGAAACTTTTGCTCAATTTTGAACTATATTTTCAAGAAGTTTGAATTCTTATTGTAAGAACCGTTTTTTTTATGGATGAATTAGATAAGATAATTTTGATTTTTGGTCGTGTTGAATTAGACATTCGATTTTTGTTCTATGTTATTCGTAAAGTAAAAACACGGTCGGGAATTTCAGTTCACAAATTGAAATGTATCTGGTATAGGTAGTCAGAAATAGATTCAAAAGTTTTGCATCACCTTGTATTTATACGAAGAAGTTTTTTTAGCTGAATCGTCGCGTTCCCCGAAATAAAATTTTACAATAATTTTCACATTTTTGATGTCACTATATTTAGAGTCAAGACAGTTAAATTTTACGAATTCACGTGCAAAGATGCCTGGACAAGTCATAAGTGAGATTGACCGTGTGGAAGAAGAGTGGCTTTTCTTGAAGAAGGGCATTCTCAAAAGTTCGTGATTAATACAGGGTGTTCCGAAATTAATGCACCAAATCTTTATGGCATATTCTACGTCGAAAATAAGCCCTGGTTACCTATATAAACATATATCCGGAAACGCTTCCTTTCCGAGATACAGGGTGTTGAAATTCTAAAAAAAAAAAAAATATTTTTTTATCATAATTCATACCACTTTGAAATTTTGTACACTGGTTTCATGCAACCAAAGACATTTTCTGATGTGGAATATTTAATAAAAAAATTACCAGTGACGTCACAAAACTAATTTAAAACTTTAGGTCTTTAATGTTAAACATTTTTATCATAATTTTGGCAATTTCGCCATGCATCAAAATGGTTTTTTATTTTTTTTCTTTGAAACAGTGCATCTTTCGGAAAAAAGTGAAGATATCAAATTTGTTCTAAATTGAATGGGGACTTGAAAAATGATTTTATTTTAGAAAAAAGCAGTGACGCTCCATTTTTTTCTTAAAAAATATTCCTTACAAATCTAGTAGGACGCCACTGGTAATTTTTTAAAAAAATTATTTCACATCAAAAAATGTCCTTTGCTGCTTGAAAGCAGCAGACAAAATTCCAATGAAATATCTAGAGTGGTTTGGAAATTATGATCGAAAAATAGTTTAAAAATGATTTTATTTTAGAAAAAAGCAGTGACGCACCATTTTTTTCTTAAAAAATATTCCTAACAAATCTAGTAGGACGCCACTGGTAATTTTTTAAAAAAATTATTTCACATCAAAAAATGTCCTTTGCTGCTTGAAAG